GTTATCCAGCCATAAAAGCAGGCTTTATCACTTCCCCACAACAACGATAAGGAAGGAGAGGAACCGGCTTCGTCGCTGCGCTGCAAGCTTGAAGCTTGGTCTTCTAATATCTCGAATGCGGGTTGATACAGAGAAATAATAGAGCCAGGAACTCTTATAGCGCCCCTTGAATTTATCTGCTCGGATTGGGAAGGTGGGGTGAGGTGGGGGCTTTTTTTGTTGTTTGTTTCTTTGTTTAAAGTTCTCAGCAATTAAGGTTATCTTTCTTAAATTAGAAGGAAAACATAAACAAATGCAAAAGTGCCGTGAGGAACGGGGTTCTCTCCCCCCTCCCCCATTCAGATGAAATGCTGGAAGTCCGCAGTCAGCAAGGGCTGCTTGTAAGTAAGGCCCATCATCCGCTGAGCTGCGAAGAACAGCTGGGCCGGGCCTATTTTTTCCAGGCGCGGGCTCATCCCAGGTTCGTTGCAGCCATTGAAATGAAGTGCATAAATCCCGCACGTGAACTCTCCGGATCGATCAGGAGGGTAGCCAGTTCTTATTCTGTGGCGGGCGAACGATTTTTTTGTCTCCCCAGTTCAACCTACCGGGATGACTGATCTGTAATTATTAGGATGGGGGCAGCCACGGGAGCGGGACGGGTGGGAGTGGGCGGAGAAGAGAGAGAGAAAGGCGAGGTGCTTTTTCTTTTCACCTGCCTGGTTTACTGACAAACGCAAGACGCAAACACAGAGAGATTTCCCTTCCGTCCCCACGACAGGAAGGCGAATTTCTGTCGCACCAAAAGAAACAACGTGGGATAAATCGAAAAGATTTTTTTGAAACCCTTTTGCAAGAAATGCATCTTGGAAAAGAGATGCGGCCGTTTATAATAAGGTTTCTTTCTTTCTCTTCTTCTTCCGTCCCCAAACCCTAAATTATGCGATGGGAAAGACATACTGATTTTTGGTGGAAACTGCTTTCCTTCCTCCCCACATCCCCTTCCTTGCAGTATTAATACAAAACCATCGAGGACGCTACAAGCAGCCCTAATCATTCCCATTTAAAGCCAAACAGATTTTATTCAATTCCCTTTCCCCGTTTCAATTCTCATTTCTTCCCCCACGTGCAACCCTACCCGTTCGATCTACTTTTAAATAAAGTAAGTACAGCTAACTTTAAAGAGAGGTTGTTCTGAAACAACCAATGCCGTAATGCTGAAAAAGAGAGAAAGGGGAACATAATTTCCTACTTTTCCAAAAGTCCACTTTTTTTACTTCATCCTCCAAAACATTGCTAATTATCTCCTCTTCCCAGCATTGTTTTTCGTACAAATTTCACGCTGGAAACTGACTTGAATGATCACTCAAATGGCACCTTGGGATCCTTTTTGCTTACACCTTATCCCGAATTCCGCAAAAACAGCGAATTCCTGAAAAAGTTGAGAGAATCACTGAAGGCTTTTTTCTTTGATCTGATCGGAAAAAAGGGAAGAAGCCAAACAAAGCGAGGCAAAAAAAATTTTTTCTTCCCATCATCCAAGTCCCTATTTATTTAAACCCGCCAAATTCTCACTAGATTCAAACAATCAATTTCATTTGGCAGAAAAATACTAGATTAATTGATCTACTGAACGAGAAACAGAGAGTGAGAGTGAGAGAGTTATGCCAACATCTTTAAATTAAATAATAACTTAGTTTAACATTGAAGAAGGAGGAAAGGAAGGAAAGAGGGAAGGAAGGAAGGAAGGAAAGAGGGAAGGAAGGAAGGAAGGAAGGAAGGAGAGAAAGAGGGAGAGAGAAAGAGAGAAAGAGAGAAAGAGAGAAAGAGAGAAAGAGAGAAAGAGAGAGAATTATGCCAACATCTTTAAATTAAGCATAATAATTTAGTTTAACGTTGAAGAAGGAAAGAAGGAAGGGAGGGAGGGAGTGAGGAAGGAAGAAAGGAAGGAAGGAGAGAGGGAGAGAGAGCACTTTGCGTTGGTTCCCTAAACTAAGCCTCCCTGTTACCTTTCCGAGCAACGGGCATCATCCCGCTAAAACATTCGAACGACTATTGTTTGCTCGACTATTTGATTGATGGAATTCGGGTGGAAGTGAGAGATTGCTACCTATCAGGTGATAACTCTCAAATGCTGAGATCCCTCGGATCAAGTGAAACATCCTAATAACTGAGCTGAAAATGTATTTGTCAGCCAAATTTACAAAGAGAGGAAGAGGTGGAATTTCAAAAAGCTTTCCAAACTCCTGCTGAGTTAGCAAAAGGGCGTTAGGGTGACAGGAAGAGGGTTGACATGACTTGGCTGCATCCTTTGGGTCCCTGCCTTATAGGCTAACCACTCGGTTTTATTATTAATTTCTTTCCTTCTTTCCGTTTCTCTGCCCTTCTCGGAGCTTGTGCCCTGCTCCCTCGGGCCTGCCTTCCATTATTGTCCCTGTTTCGGCCTGCCGGAAGCTGGGCAGTAGCGGTTGCCTTGGTTTATGCAACCTGTTCTCCCTTTTGCTGCCATGGCAACGCAACACAAACCTCCCACCACGCTTTTTAAGGTCGCCTTTGCTTGTGGGAGGGCGCGGAAGTCGGCACTGTCTTACGGAGGGATCTCCGGGGAGACCAGGCTTTCTATGGGTCTGACTCCTGAGAACAGAGGTTGGATCCAGGCGACGTCCTGCTTAAAGATAAGCCCCTGACAATGACGCCTGTCTAACTTGTGCCATTCCTGCCAATGGGTTTCTTCTTAGAAAGATTACTTCTGGGGCAACCCACTGAATTTTCTTGTGGGAAGCATTTTAGGGAGGGGAGGGGGGAATACCTGTGACTAGATTTTTTCGGCCTGGAAAAGGAAGCGCTGGTAGTAAACCTATAACGCACAATGCGTAAAGGTAAAAAAAAAAAATGAGGGAGAAAGGAATTTTATATACCCATGTCTTTATAGTACTCAAATTGTCTGCACCTCAAAAATTGAGCTTTACTGCTTGGATATTAGGTATTCCTCCCCCTCACCCACCCCCCACCCCCAAGGGGGGAAAAAATGGCGCCGTGGTCTCTTGCGCTTGACAAGAGCGCCCTCGCCTTGCGATTTAGAAAACGGCAGCACCGCGCCGCTCGTCGGCGGGATCACACGCGCGCGCACGGCGTGGCGGCACACACAGCGCTCCTTAGAAAGCAGACCCATTGAGTTCAACCACGTCTATCTCCAGGCAAATGCACGGAGGATCGCGGCTGGCTTGAAGAGAGAAACCTGCGAATCACGGCAGGCTGCCGTTCATTCTAAGAAGCAGTGCGGGCAGTTGTTATTATTGTAAAATGGAGGGAATAACAGTTATCTTAGACGCGGAGAGAGAAGAAAGGAGCGAAGGGGGGAAAAAAACAACACCCTGAGTATTTATTTCTTCCACCCTTTCTAGAGATTTTTTTTTTCCACGCTAAAGGTTCAGCCTCTATCTATTCCCTACAAGGCCCGATGAATCTCTCAGCACCTCATTACCGCTGGCTCAGATTGCATTCAGCAAACGTGTTACCTTTTACTGCGTTTGAGTAACTCAAATTGGGATATTAACAATTAATTATTTTCCTGAGATTTCAAATTTGCAAGAGCAAGGGAATTTTAAAAAACAACGGACGCACAACAATTTGCGGAGCGGAGTACAGCTAGCTTCCTTATTCCCCGTACTGACTAACTGGGGAAGGAGGATAGCAGTGATTAATAAAACAAAAAATAAACCACATATATATGTGTGTATAATATATAATCATTATTTGGTATTTTGATTTTTTTTTAAATAGCCAGACATGATTGTAAATGTAGATGGATAATACTTCACAACCCACAATGCAAGTATAGTCCTTCCTTTATTATACCATGACTTGTATCTCTTTTAATATAATCCTCAATATTGTATCACAAATAGAATAATCTTCATTCCCTGAAAAAATATGCAGGGTTGCAGTCTAAGCCCCAGTCCCAAGTAGAAATAATAAATTTCAGAGAACTCACCCTTAAGCATAGATGCATCTACATGCGGAAGAACTACTAATGCATTCACTATTCAAAAGTCAAATCCAAGCAACGGAGTTCAGGGTATATTAGAACAAGTAGCATATCAGCCCCTGGAACTTTCCAGTCAATAATTTGGCGCCTTTACTATGAAATGTTTTCTACTAAAACCAAGGGATTTTTCTCAAGAAAATACAGGTTGCTATCTAATCAATGGGCCGCTTTTGTTCCCTCATTAAGTATACATATTCAGGTAAGCAGGAATAAGATTGAAATTTCAACTGACTTTTTACTGGTTAAAACATACACCAATCTTTAAAAAAAATCAAAATTCTGTTAAATTACTGGCTAGTTTGCTTATTCTTGAAATAAGATTCTACCTTTCTCCACCTTTCCTGAATTTGCTTAGATTTTCTTAAGTAAATGCACTCCGGTCGGAAATCAGAGGTATTTCAAAGGATTTTTAAAACAATTCTTCAGCCCTCAAAACATGTACATAATATCTGAAAATAGGATTTCCTTTTCATTTTGCATTCTAACACTTCTGAAGACAGAAAGGGAGGTTCTAAAGTATTTTGAGTAGTGCAAAATTCGTTAAAATAACAAAAGGAGAAATGTAGATGTGTAACCCTTATTACAGGGAGGATTCGCCATATAGAATCCCTCCTCCCCCTCCCCCCCTTTCAATTTGTTACTACAACTTCTTGGCCAATGCCTTAAACTGGCCTGAAAGTGCTTATTTTGCTCAAATTCAGATTTCTTCAATGCATTTATCTAAACAAATTTGACAGAATAGAAGTTGGAAGTCCCTTTTCCTTTAAAAAACAAACAAACAGATTTTAGAAAAATGTTGTCTTCAGTCCTGCATTTTTTTTCCCCCCTATGCATCAAGCAAGAGAAGAGGAAAGAAGAGATTTACTACCAACGGAAGAACCAATAAATTAGCACTGTGTAAAATTCTGGAAAGCAGGACTAAAAAAAAAAAAAAACCACCAACAACAAAAACAAACCCACGATCGACACTCACCCGCTTGGAAAGAGGTGAAAAGACCGAAACGCTTGAAGCCGGCTGGTGTCTTCTGGTCCCGGCTGTTTCTTTGCGCCACAGGTCATTCTTCCCAGCCGCTTCACAAGGCAAACAAAAGATGTCTCGGCTTTTGGGTCCCCCTTGGCTCTCTTGCCTATTTGGCATGCTGAAATTCTTTCGAGTCTTCCGTTTCCTTGGGAGTTGGGATAGATCTAGGTCAAGGGGAGAAACAGTTGTAAGCATTAGCCCGATCCTTAAGCAAGGAAGAGAAAAGAACGATTAAAAGAGGAGGGGGGGGGAGATGGGGGCGGATAATAATAATAACAATAATAATAAGAGGAGGGGGAGGAGAGGATGGAGAATTGCAAACGCTTCAAGGGCAGGTCCCCATCAAGCTTGCGGATCGAAGGCAGGTTTTAACCTTTCGCTGGCAGGGGAGGAGGGCGCAGCGAGAGTTGATTTGGGAGTCTGTGTGAGCGTTTGGGGGGGGGGAGGGAGGGGGCGATAGGACCTGTAAGACGGAAGCCACCCACTGATCATTTTCCCCGTCGCCCTGGGGAGAAGACGGGTAGTAATTTAAAGTTCACCTACCCAGCCACCTTGCTGCGATCTTCCAGCAGGATTTGGTTTCGCCTTCCTGGAGGGTCCCCCTTCTCTTTGCCGGCAGGTTTGGGGGTTTTTTCCCCCTTCCGTTGAGATAGAAAATCGCAGGAACGCCACCGCCCTCCGGGCAGGGTCACCCCCAAGCCGTCCAAAAGAGCCGTAAGGCGCAGTCAGGCGGACCTCCGAACGTCTCCTGATCTTCACCTTCACCTTTCGCTAACCCAGAGCTCCCCCACTTTCCGAAGCAGAGATCCAGAACACAAAGCGAGCGCCAAGTCATCCTGCGTAAGTCCTGAGCTAACCCTCTCTTCCCCCCCCACACCTCCACCTCCCCACTGCCACCAAGGACCACTGAACTGAGTGGGCCTCCTTGCGGGAGCCTAGCTGGTGGGATCAGCTTTGTCATTTCTCCGCCTCGCTCCTTTTCTTTCCTCCAAGTCACCTTCCCCAAGGCTGATCTGGCTTCAAGGACGGAAGAGAGATTTGCCCAGGACCATCTATTTGCAAAAGTATGCGGGGTGGGGGGGGGGAGAAAGAAAGAGCATGCATTCATATGCAAATAAGTCTATGAAGATGAGAAGTTCATCAAAAAAAAAAAAAACCCACAAAAAAAACGGGGAGGGGGGGTGAGGTGAGGTGGGAGAGAGAATGCTAGGTGTTCTGGTCTGGTTCAAATAATAAAACTGATGAGGCTGGAGGTAGAACTGAAGGCCCAAAAACTTCTTCAGGATTTAGAGGACAAGGCCAGGTAAGTCCCACAGGATGGAGAAATGGGTTCAATTTATCCAGACCTAGCAATAAAAATCACGGGAAGAAAAAAAGAAGAAAAAAGAAAGAAAGAAAACTTAGGCAGCCTAAAACAGTGCCCTGGGGATTGAACAAAAGCACCCAGTTCTCATTTTAAAATAAAGCTTTGGGGGGAGGGGTCTTTGGAGGGGTTAAATTGTTTGACAGCTTAAGGTTCCCAGATTTAACTAAGCACCCTTATTATTTCAAAGGATACCAAAAGATCAAGTCCCAGACAAGCACCCCGCTTTTTAAGACTGGAAAGGCCAAACCACCCAGCCTTTCTACCAGTTGAGTTTAACAGCACCCCACCCTCTAAAAAACAATTCCCTTTTTTTCCTGAAAGCACGATTTCTCCTGCCCTTAGCTCTATACTCGTTTACTAGAGAGTAAACTCTGCTAAATCTAATGGCCTTACTCTAAGAATCATGTTGACTTATACTCTAATCATACTTTAAAAATCAACTTCTTAATGACCCACTCTTTCAAAATATCGCCACATCATTTATGATGGAGAGAAGCTACAAATGTACCATTTCTTGTGACAGGCTGACTAGTTACTGACTAGTAACTTCCAAACAGTTTTAAATTTAACCCAAACAATTTAAATATTCGAATGGCGGGGGAGAGAACAAGGAGACCACTTTAAAAAGGTACATCTAATAGGTTATCTGCATGCCATGGCCATAGTAGTAACAAATTATAGTGGATGTAATTACAGGGGGAGATATTTAAGGGATATATTGGTAGCATTTATTCAGAAAATCCAGAATCTGAATCTTTTATTATATAAAGAGCACGTGAGTCATCTCTAGAGAAAAAGAAAAGGTTTAGTAGTTTGGTTGAGAGTTGAAGGTAGATAGATGATATAAGAGAAAGTTTGTGAAAAGAGTTTGGGGAGAGGAAGCTGATTGTTTTCACAACCAATACAGAAAAGACACAGCCTAGTTATCTAGCTCCTTCCTTCCTTCCTTCCTTCCTTCCTTCCTTCCTTCCTTCCTTCCTTCCTTCCTTCCTTCCTTCCTTCTCTCCCTCCCTCGACGGCATTTGAAAAAGTACTTTGCAACTACAATAGAAATAATAATGAGATAGGTCGATGCAACAGTTAGGACTCCTTCTCCTCGGCCGGGATACCCGCCCCGCATCCTACGAGAATGTTTTTTTAAAAAAGGAAGAAGAAAAAGAAATGACACCCGAATGATTTAATCCACATCAACCCGTTTCAGAAAGCGGCATTTGAACAACAAGCGCCTGTTTACACCTTCAAGATGAAATGCGTGCGGAGAAACCCACCATCGCCCCACCTTTTTCTCAGCCATGATTATCCACCAAGTTTACCTAATTAATGCTTATTAACCAACGGGGGGATTCCCCCCTCCTATGTCTTTGATTAGGCTTGCAATTATTGAACCAATCTGGCTTCTACATACCACGTCCCCCCACCCTTTCCAGACCTATGTCTGTAGTCACATATTCACACATACGATTTGGAGCACACCCATTATATCTCTACCCCCACCCCCCCAAAAAAGCACTATGAAATAGCAGGATTAATCCTTGCTGTTGGGTTTCCCACAAGAGTTAGATAACAACACACCAGGTACTTTGTCAACTGGACCCCACCAGACCCTTCTTGCTGATTCGTTTGGCTTCAGCAAAAGTGATGTCAGGCGAGGACTCTATCTTGGAATATAGGTTCAGATATAGACCCAGATAGTTCTACAGATGTTAGATATAAAATCTGTAGACTATGAAGTCTATAGGGAAAAAAAATACCAGAAGCACTTTATATTTTTAGTTTTGTTTTGTTTGTTTGATCGATTCTTTCTTTCCTTAAAAAAAAAAAAAAATCAAGGTGCTCATTAGATTTTCTAGCTTTGCAAAACTAACCTAGCCTAGTTCTAACAGCGGTTGCAGGAGAACTGGATATTGACTTTTACAATGGTTGCTATTGTGTAAGTCGGCTCATCTTCTTGACAAAGTTAAGAAAACTTCGGATCTTCTCAGCTGCCTCCATCTCTCTTTTCTTCCCGATTTATTGTGATAAGGACTTCGAATTCTCAAGGTCCCTCAACGCCACCTTTTCGCTTCTTAATGATGATATCAATCTTCCTGCATTTGCTCTTATCACTCAGCCTAGCCGAACTTCTGTTCCTTTTGTGGCGGGCCTTTCTCTCTCCCTCCTTTTTTTTCCTGGGCGGGTGGAAGTCTCCTTTTTAAAGCATTTGGCGATAGCATCTCCAGGAAAGAGATTATTTTTCTTCCCCCGTGGTGAGAAGGGAGCCCGTTTATTGCTTTAACCCGGGACATTTTGCGGACTACACAATTGCAACAAATGAAGAACTTGTTCTCCGCGGACTCTCTGCGGGATCCAATTAGCCGGGGGTGGGGGGTGGGGGGAAGAAGCCCTTGCACAAATTCTGCAGTGATTTGCAAGAACGATTGCCCTCCTTCCCGAAATTGTCCCTAAAACCGGATGTTTATTTTCCCCTCTTTGCTCGTGTGGCCACAAAACAAACTCTCAAAAGCAGCATTTCCCCCAGTCTTTTCCAACCAGCAATTGCGTTTGGGTTTAAGAGCTCTGAAGAAGCTGAAGTCTGTCCCTTTCATCGCAGAAATTGATGTCATTCGTAAGGACTTAAACGTTCAGTTCTGCAGAGTCTGTGACATCATTTCAACATAGCTTTCCTCCCCTCCCCCTTTTTTTCTAACAAATCTTTGTACATCGTTCTCTAAAGAAAGAGAGGGAGGGTGGGAGAGAGAGAGAGAAAGAAAAAGAAGGAAAAGATGAAGGAAGGAAGGAAGGAAGGAAGGAAGGAAGGAAAGAAAGAAAGAAAGAAAGAAAGAAAGAAAGAAAGAAAGAAAGAAAATATCCCCTCCAAAAAAGCATACATCTAGAAGACTTTTTAAAAATGGCACCAAATATACATGTCTTTTAGAATTTAGAAACGGAATAACAAGAACTGCTTATGTCTATAACTGTACAGACACAACATTCATCCAGTTCACACCTTTACACTCACAAAGGGCCAGGAGGTTTGCTTCGCATCCAAAAGCTCAAGAGAGAGCCCAGACCTAAGCAGCTAGGCCCTGCCGAGTTCAGATGGCTTTATTTATGGGCAAGGCTAGGATTGCAAGGTCTCGTTAAAGTCAACGAGGTTTACCTCCGCAGTAAGCGCGGCTCAAATGCTGGAGGCTTTGAACGACAGCAGCTCGGCTGGCGTTCAAATGGTCCTTAATGTCACCTCCACACGGCTAGCCCTTGCAAGGAAAACTGCTTGTAGTTAAAGCCAGGAGCTTTGCCAGGCAGCCCAACGAAAACGCCAACCTCAAGATAGCACAAAACGCCGCGGTTTTGTGGCTGCGCCTGCAAACTGTTTTTCATTGAAAACTTAGCAGCATTTTACTGATTTATAACTTGCAAGCAGAAAAAGACGAGGCATGCTGTATTTCTTTCCTGCCTGGAAATTCTGCCTGGAGCCATTGGTTCTTTGGCCAATACTGCAAAAGCAGCAGGGGCTGGAGAGAAATTCGGCCCTAAGGTTTCAGCTTTAGTTTTTGTTTTGTTTTTTACAGTTTTAAAAGCCTTTTGGGTATTAAAACGCCTGGATAAAAGAGACAAAAGCATTATGGAATATATATGAATTTAGCCTATTTTTTTATTTCTGTGTGTTCATAGTAAACATTTTTTTTGTAAGTGACAAACACGGGCATATGACCACAGTATCACAATCAAGTTTTTTTTTTTTAAGACGACATTAACAATCACTCAAATTTATGCGGCATTTGCGCAACACAAGTTACATATTTGCAAGGTTTACCTATAAGTACAATAGGTATTAACATTTCACTACATTTAAAAAAAATAAAGGTGACCTGTTAGTGACCACATACATCTAAATATACACAACACAAACTGAAGGCAATTCATGATTTTCTGTCCCCTCGGATTCACTGAAATGGGCAGTGCTGCAAAACTGAAATTATATCATTCTGATGTATGATATTCCATATTTTAAAGAAAAGAAAACATTTCGCATACTGAGTGCATTTTCTAAAAACCCAATCTTTGGTCTAAAAGTAAACAAAAAGGAGGAAAAAAAATAAAGAGGGGAAATAGCTCTTTTTTTAAAAAAAAAAAGTGGAGGACAAAAGAATCCATGGTTAAAACTTAATTCTTGAACTTCTCTGCCAAATTGCTTTGCATCTTATACAAATGACCATTTGCATCATGGGATTTATCCATTTTGTATTTTTATTCCCACGATCTGCACCCAGCAACATATTCATGGTAACTTATAATACTGCAAACATGGAAAATCTAGCAGCCCGGCATTTCTTACCGGAATCAAAATGGCCAAAAGCATTTCAGATATACATCCTTATGAGATTTTAATATTAATACTCCCTTCCTTTTTCCCAAATGCATTGTCTATACGAGGTATTCTTCCCATCTTGCTGACTCGCCTCCCTGGTCTGGAATCATAAACAACCCTTTTAAAAAATGAACAAACGTACAGAAAATGGGGGAAGAGGGGAAAACTTAATAAAAAATACCTGGACTCTTTTTTTTTCCTGGGTGAGTTTTTGTTTTTTTTTTGTTTTGTTTTCCTTTCTGTTTTGTTCTTTTTATAGTCTCGCTCTCGTGCTCTTTCTCGCTCGCGCTCTCTCTCTCTCTCTCTCTCGCTCTCCTTTCACTATCATTTACAACGCAAAGGTGTGTAAAATGTTCACTTACAGTCTTGGCTCCCCTGGAGGTTAATGTATTAACGGGTTGGAGGAAGACCCCTGATTTTGATGTGTGAAATAATCAGAAAGTCCCCCCGACAATCCTGTGGTGAAACTCGGCAAGGAGGGTCTTAAGGACTCGCACGGGAGCGTGGAGGGCGCCTGAGGCGAAGTGGAGGAAGAGGCGGCCCGGCCCGTCATGGAAGAGCTGCTCTGCGAAGTCATGGAAGGGTGAGGGACGTGGGGGAAAAAGTAACTGGTCTGGCCGGCCGCCAGGAGGTTGACCGAGCAGGGGTTGAGGGAGTAGGTGCCCGAGCACGGCACCGACAAGCCGCAGGGCACCGAGGCGGCCAGGGCCGCCGCCGTGAGATGGTGAGTGGCGTAGGGCAGCTCGCCGTTGACCAGCCTGTCCACGCTCAGGCCGTTGGAGGCGGAGAAGGAGTGGTTGTTCCCCAAGGAGTTCTGGGTCAGGACTGAGCTGTAGGGCATGGGGTGGCTGGGGTAAGCCGACGTGCTCCCGTTGTAGCTCAGCGTACTGCTGGCCCGCGGATGATGCAGGGACAGGAAGGGAGACATGGGCCAGTACAAGGAGCCCGCCCGGTCCATGAAGGTCAGGCCGGTGGAGGTCAGGCGGGCGCCCCGCTTGAAGGCCAGCTTGGCCCGGGAGGTGGTGGAGCGTCGCCGGAGCTTGCCGGTGGTGCCCCCGATGAAGACGTCGTCGCTGGACGGGTCCAACATCCAGTAGTTGCCTTTGCCCGGGTCGTCGTAGTGCCGCGGCACTTTGACGAAGCACTTATTGAGCGACAGGTTGTGGCGGATGGAGTTCTGCCAGCCCTGCTTGTTCTCCCGGTAGTAGGGAAAGTTTTTCATGATGAACTCGTAGATGCCGTTGAGGGTGAGGCGCTTCTCGGGGCTCTGACGGATGGCCATCATGATCAGCGCGTTGTAGCTGAAGGGCGGCTTCTCGTACTTGCCGTTCTTCTTCTCGCCCTCCTTGCCGCCGCCGCCATCGGCCCCTTCCTTGGCCCCTTCCGGCACCCCTTTCTTCTCCTCGGACGGCCCTTTCTCCTTGTCGTCCAGCTCGGCGGCTGAGCCGGCTTCCCCTTTGCCGGCCAAGAGGTCCCCTTTGGCTACTACCTCCAGGGGGCCCGAGGGGGCCGGCGCCCCGGCGGCCGCGGCCGCCCCCACCCCGGGGGGCTGCAGCAGAAGCTGGCTCTTTTCTTCCTCCTCGTCGTCCTCCGCTGGGGTGGCTCTCTGAGGCTGCGGCGTCTGGGTTGGGTGGTGGTGGTGATGGTGGTGGTGGTGGTGGTGGTGGTGCGGGTGATGGTTATTGTGGTGGTGAGGATGGTGCTGCTGGTGGCTGTGGTTGTTGTCGCTCTGGACGGCTTCGGGCACCAGGCTATTGATGCTGAAGGACGACTTGGGCAGCATTTTCACTTCTTTCCTATCGCCCATGTCCAACATCACACTCTAGGCAGGAGGGGAAAGTCGCAGAGCCGGGAGGAAGGCGAGGCAACGGGCGCGGCGAGGTCCGTCCTGGAGGGCGAAGCGCCGGGCGGCAGTGAGGCGGCGGGAGCGGCTGGGCACTTGCACACCCACCAGCTCCAGAGCTTTGCAAGGCATGTAGCAAGGACCGGGAGCGCCCGTGCAGGGGATGGAAAAGACCAACTGGCTCCTAGCAAGGGAGCCGGAGCCAAAGCCACGGGAGGGGGGGGGTGAGGAAAGGGGGGGTTGCCAAATGGTTCAAAAAGGGTTTTTTTTCCCCCCGAAGGGCACGAAAATATGACTGCGCCCCCCCTTCCAAAAAAAAAAAGGCGCCCCAAGTCCTTCTGTCCAAACTACTTCATGGTGCCTGGAACCCCCCTATTCCACCCGAGCAAGGGAGGGGGGGAGAAAAATCAGCTGCCGGGCTGAGGCTGAGAGCAGCAGAGACGGCTTTAGCTACAATTAATTTCCGAGCTACAGACACACACTAGGGCTGTAAAAAAATTTTTGGTTTAACCTTTCTCACCAGCCGTCCAATCAAAGAGCCCGGCGTGCAGGGACGTCTCTCTTCCGGACGCCCAATCAGCGCCGGCTTTTCTCCGCCTCTTCCCCTTCGCTTTTTCGTCGACCTCCTTCCTTTCGACAGCCCTACCGGAGGGCGTAAGGATACCAATGGGAGAGGCGCATCACCGCGGCAGGTTACCTTATACCCGCCTCTTCCTTCTTTTCTCTTTCCTGGCGACTCCCCTCAACACCCCCCCCCTCATGCCACTCTCCAGTGAAAACCATATATCTATATCTATATATGTATATAGGGTATGGCTGGAGGCACGGATGTATGTCTTGAAACGCCCATATACACGTCTCCTGTTTCTACTTGTGGGTGTAAACCCCGTTTTTTTTTTTTTTGCTGCCCGGGCGGGGGGGGGTGGGGGTGGGGCGGGGAGGCGGTGGCCGAGAGGAGGGTAGAGGAAATGGAGGCTGAGGAGTAGGAGAAAAAAAAAAAAGAAAGAAAAGAAAGAAAGGCACTACTTTGCAGAACCAGCCGCGCCGTCTCGCCGAGGCCCAACTTCCGCGGCCTCTCCCGCCTCGGCTCCCGCGGCCGCTCGTTGGCTGGCTTCTTGAAAGAAAAGCGGCCGAGGGGGGGGGGGGGAGAGAAACCGACCAGCCTCCCTTCTGCTTGCGACGCGCCTCACCTGCCGGAAGAGGGAGGGTGTCTGTCCTGGGTCGGCGGGCGTGGACTCGGGGCTGGCGGGCTTTTGACGACGGAGTTTAACGGCAAGGCCCGAGAGCTGCCGGGCGCTTCTTTCGAGTGCGGGCTGGAGGATCGGGCTCGGCCCTTTGGTGGGGGGGGGGGGGGGGGGGGGGGGGCTGTGGAGAGGGGCGCGAAGGCCTTAAATAAAATAATAAACGATCCGCAGGTAAATCTTTCTTCGCCCGCTTTCCCTCAGCTCTGTAATCTGGTCCCTCGTGGTGAGGCGACGCCGGGCGAGCCCGCTTGACTCCGAAGGGAAGGCCGGCGAAGCGCCATCCGGACGAAACGCGGGGGGGGGAGCCCCTGCGTGACTTCCCTTTGCAAAGGCTCGCTTGGACTTTTCCCTCCCTGCTGGAAAAGGCTTTCGGCTGAGGCGGAGGCTGCCCGTCGACGGGGAAGCGGGACTCTCTTCCCGAGAGAAAAACAGGCGGAATAAGCTGCTAGGAGGCTTCGTGACGTTCGTTTTATTCTAAATACCGAAAGACAGGGCGGCTTCCCTTTTTTTCCCCCCCGTTAGGACAACCGACCCTTTTTATTTATTGCAATCTCGTTCGTAAACATAACGCCATAGGTTTTTACACACGTCCTGAGAGCCTGTCTTTTTGCATCGTTTACGCTCGGAATTGGCTGGTTTGCTTTTTGCTTTTAGGGTTTTATTCTCCCTGTGAGAGGACGGTAAAAGGTCGGTTGGATTAAAAAGAACCAACTGCTTTTGTCGCCCCGTCCCTCGCCGTGTTTTTGTTTTGCTTTAAGTGAATACGGATGGGAAAGACGCGGGCTTGCCGCGGTGAGGGTTTCCTTGAGAAGGGAATTAATCATCCGGATCAAATCCTCTCCCTTCCACCTGAACGGGAGGCGCAGCCTTTTGCTAGAGAAAGGAAGCCCAAATCCAGAGAGCAAAGTGTCCCCCGGGGTGGGCGTGGGTGGGTGTGTATTGCTGGGTGGGGAGGGCAGGGGAATATCCGGATCAAAGTTAAAGCGAAGCTGTCATCACTTTATCCACATCAGCACGTCAATGCGATCGGAGCGTAGAAAACGTTGAGTTTGGGCTGCAGAACGATGCCGGTTTCAGGAACGGCGGGAGGACAGAGCAGGGAGCTGTTCTATTATTTATTAACGCCAAAGCAAAAAAGAAAAACTATCGGGGAATAACCTGAACCCTGTGAGATAGTCTGTGCAGGAGGAAGGGATGAACTAAAAAAAGAAGGATGTGTAACAACAATCATTCCCTTCCCTAAAGCAAGCAGTAAGAAACTGCATTTAAAAAGGATGGTTTAAAGTGATTTAATCCACGAACAACTATTATGTCTCTTCTCCTCCCCCCCCCGCCCCCAGAACCTGAGATTTCATCATTCTTCAAGGGCTTGCTGCTTGCCTGGATTAAAATGATGTAAAGTTGGGAGGTGTGAAAGATAAACAGCATTTTGTCATTGTTATTTTTGTTATTGTTATTACTTGGTAGTTAGGACATATGAGATTTTTTTTTTTTTTTTTTTAGAAAACTTCCCCTAAATCTCTTTTTCCTCCTCAAAATTCTGGGGTAAGAAGATAGCTTAGGTAAACATTTACTGATGTGGAGCAACCATACTATATGATATGCAGGAAGGAAAGTGTTGATTAACACAGAAGGGGGAAAAAGCGAAATTAGCTGATTGCATGCTCATAAGTGCAAGCTGTCATTGAACTGCTTTTAAAATAGACACAGCTGGGTGTTTGTGTTGCAAAAATTCTTGTGTTTTTGCTAATACTGAAATAAGCATGATTTTGTATACCAAACATTTTCGGATCATTAAAATTTGTAATCTGCTCTGGTTGTGAAACACAAAGAGAAGCAACCGATTCCTTTGGCTGCCAGATTTGCTGATATGATATTAACTCAATCAGGTCTTGACAATTGGGTCCATTGTAACCCATCTCACGGTGTTTTTTTAAAAAAATCTATTTAATATACACAATGTCCAATATGAGTGTAGTATGTTAACAAGGAATTGACCTCCCTCTAAAAATGTTTTATTCTGCAACAAAACTGAAGAAGATTTGCATTTACTATTATCATTGATATCCTTTGTTGAAAATGAAAATGTTCTGAAGTGTTGTTCTTTTACATTGTTTTGGGATCTGGCATAAAAATGAAAAAAGGATAGACTGGTAACAAATAATAGGAATAAGTAAATTAATATTCTATTCCCAGGATTTTACCTAATCCTGTGATCAAAGCTGGGAAAGGTATACTTCCTTCTAAACATAGATATTAAATTGATATATCGCACATTTGAAATTGCCTGAGTCTCAGTCCAGTGTGAAACAAAGACTAAAATGTTGCCGATCTCAACCATTGAGACAGGATCGCAGAATGGCACTCTAGATCCAGCACCAAACTCAATGGAAAGTTCATCTACATACAGGAAGAATACAGACTTGGAAAGAAATTTGCATTAGAAGCAGTTCAGAAGATCGTTGTCTCTCTGCTACCCCTTGCCCACCTCCCATGAAGGCTGAGATTGCCATTTCCAGACTGTTTATTTTTTCAAGGGTAGCGTCTGGTCACTCAAGAATGTCTTTTTTTTTTTTTTTTGTGCCTAAAGGCTCACTTAAAAATAACAAAACAAACCCGATGGGAAAGTTCTGGTCACAGGTGCACTGTTAATCACCCACATTTAGAGTCCTGATTTGCACGCCTTCCTCCCCACCCCCCAAATTTCATTCATTTTCATGAACCCAAGTGGCCCCAGCCTCTCTTCTTCAACCAATTCAGACCAGTTTGGAGGACAGAATGGTTAAAACCAGGAGTAATTACCACGGTATTAGGATGCTGCGGGCCAGTGGGAGGGGGTGGGGGACACTTGGGCAAAATCAAACTTGAACACTTTCAGTCACCTTAGTTTTCCTGCGAGCATTAATTTCTCCTACAATCTTTCTTATTAAGATCAAGGGACGTCTGGGGGGATTTTGTCAATTTCCTTCCTATGCCAGAGAACACAAAAACTAAGAAGACCTGGAAGTTTTAGAAGCCCATCCCACGTAGACTTTTTTCTTTCTTTTTGGTCCTAAGCAAAGATGAGCAAGTATAAATACTTGTCTGAAACTTTTGGACAGTGTATACCGCCACTATCCCGCACCCCAATCATTTCAAAAGAGAGAACTGGGGTGAGTCTTAGGCTAATTAGAATGAGCACTTGATTTGGGGTTGATTTAAAAAAGTAGTTTCCCACCAACCTAAGAATCGCTTCCGAAAGATTTTGGAGTAACTCAAGAGGCGAATAACCTGGAGGAGATGAATCTAGCAGGCAAAAGAGACAAGAAAGAGGAAATGCCCTTTTGTTTGAATTCTTGGGAGGCTTCAATTCACCAATTGTCCACATTCGTTCTGACTAATATGTGGCCCGGAAAACAATGTGTTGCTCCCATTTTAGGCTTGTGAAGGTGGGAAGAGAAGCCTATTTTCCCATTCAGAAGCCGGGGGTGCTTGAGAATATCACGCCATGATCTCAACTCCTTCTTCCGAGTGACTCCCAAGATGCCCAGAGAGGCCTGGGAGCCCAACCTGAAATTAGCCTTCAATAGCCATCTTTCCACAAACGGAACTGCTTAGTGCAGGCCAAGCTCCTGCTCTTCCGGTGCTCAAGGTGAGGGGCAGGCGGGCCACAAGGCTGATGAAGACTCCGGAACTGAGGAGAAGGCCACCTCCTGGGCTTTGTAACTTGTGTGAAGAGAGGGCGCCTTTGTCTACCGCAGCAGCCGATAGTCTTGGCTGACTCTGGGTTAGCAGAATCATTTTTGCAGGGACTGGGTTGCTCCGTGGAAGCACATCCATTTGGAAGATCTTGGTTTTGACAGTTCTCCCTTGCCTCCCTTCCAGATAGTGGCCAGCTGCGTAGAGGAAATAATCTGGCCACGAGTATTGGCCCTGGCACATCAAATTTAAAAAGTGGAGAAGACGAAGAGAGAAAATGGCTAATGTAACTTTTTTTAACCTAACATAATGCTGTCCATAGGGCTACAAGTCCCATCAATCTCAACCAGTGGGCCCATATTGGCTGGAGTTGGTACGAACTGTTCTTCAACACAACTGGATGGCACCAAGTGGGCAAAGGCCACAGGAGATGTTTCTAATTTGCAAAGAAAGGCTGAGGGCCAATAAAAGTAGGGAGGGGGAGAGAAGGCAGATCTCCCTCGCCCCCAATTTTCAAAGGGGTCTCCTGCCAACTCTAGCCAACCCCGGTGTCATCCTGAGCAGCTGGGAACGGCGATAACATTTAGCGATTAGAAGTTTCTCTTTTTAGCGTGTTATAGCTTTCTTCTCTGGGTTTTGGTTACAGGTTCTACCATTAGGTTGGCGAGAACAGTAGTGAACTAAACTTCCCAGTAAGAGGTCTTCACACCAGGGAAGTGTGACTTTGCCGCAGCAGCCCTGCCTCGTCACTCATTAGGAAGCCGCAGGTTGTCAGCGGCTTCTCCTCTTGGCGCGCACACGGGTGCGCGCGTCCACACACACAAACTGAAACTAAACGAAGGAGCACATGATTAAAAGACAAGCGTCTACGGGGCCTGTCATTTCAGCATCTTTCCATCATAACATTGTGGCACAGGGAAATTTGCTTGAAACCCTTGGAAAAAAAAAATCGATGGAAGCGGGGGCCTGGGGGGTGGGGAGGGCTTTCCATTTGAGCGAATTGCTGGCTCCGGATTGCCTTCTGCTGAAGAGGAAGAAGAGATGCTGGCAAATACCCGGGGTCTCCAGGGGACTTCTTGGAAACCCCTGGAGGCATCACGGACTTCTCTTCGAGCAGGTAGGTGGGCATGGAGAAGAGACTGGGGAGTGGGGGCTTAGTACGTCTTGAATTGAACCACTTAGGGTAGAGGATAGAAGAACCTACCGAGCCCAATTTCCCTCCAGCAGGTGTCGGAGAACTCCCCCCTAAAGCTGTAACTGTCTGGGACACTCCGTTCCCCGTGACTAATGTTTGTTGGCAAGACTAAGGAAGAGGAGGAGGAGGCGACGTTGGAAGCGTCCGGACTCTTGCGATCAACACTCTTTTGGGGTGCAAACCTTCAAACAAGTCAAGGCTAGATCAGCGTTCCGTGTTTTCTGGGTTATGCAGTCCATATCACGCCCCCCACCCCAGCCCAAGAGTTAAATGCTGAATTCCGCCGAAAAACTCGCGGGTTTGCCGTAGAGGAGGCGCAATTCTCTAAGGCCCGCTTGGGAATCTTTGGAGAAGTTGGGCAGAGTTATCTCAAGGGGGTAGGGTCTTGTTTCGGAGGCCCGTCCTGTATGCTGTGAGCTTGGAAGGGAATCCCAACTTGGCTTACCGCCAAGGAACAGCCGCGTTCTGCCTTTGGCCGAGCTCGCCGGGGTTGGCCTCTCAAAACAGGTTGCAAGCTTTCCACTCACACAAGTCTCTTTTCCGAGAGAGAGAAAGAGAGAAAAGAAGCGCAAGTGGGATGCGTTGAAGAGAGACTGACCAACAGCCCTGGGTTCGCCCTGAAGCTTTGAAGGCACTGAACTCAAAAGGGTTAATAATTCATGATTCAAAAGTGAATCATGAATTATTGGCGGTTGGGTGGGGTGGGTGGGTGGGGGCTGCTAATCGAAAAAGAAAAGTGGAAAATCTGAAAGCGCGTTTCTTTCTTGCCTTTGGGAGAATTAGAGGAAGGGGATACAGCGGTGGTGGTGGTGGGGAGAAAAAGGAGACAGACGGCCGCAGACAACTTGCTTCCAGCCAGGAACCTAAGAGGGACGCATCCCATAAACTCTTTCGACTATTAACTACCCTCGAAGAGCTGCGAGTTAAAGTTTTAGCGCTCTAAAAATAACGGGCAGCGTCACAGTGTTACTACTTTCGCCTCCAGGGCTGCGCTGCGAAGTCGCAGCGTTTTGCCGTGAAAGGGAGGGAGGGAAGTTCGCGTCCAGGGGATTCGGTGGTTGTTGAAATCGGAAAGCCGCAGCTACCAGTTTAGAAACAAATGCCCAGCACTGCAGCCTTGTTGGAAAACAACCTTCTAGATAAAATGAGGTTGGGACGGAAGGGGAGAGAAAGTGCCTTTAAGAGTGGTGTGTGTGCGTGTGTTTAACATAAGAAAGAGAAACCCTGCATGAATTTCCCCCACCCCACCCCATATTTCAACAGAACCAAAAATGAACTTTTCCCTACTACCTTCTTGCTTAGGCATCACTGGGAACTGCTTTGGTTTGTTTGACGGGTTTTAAGGCAGGTGCTCGGATTAAGTCAGGAAATAAGGTGCCAGCCCAGGCTGCCTCTCTCCTCGAGAGACTTTCAGAACTGTTACCGGCACCGATTATCAAAGGCTGCCCAAAAAGGATGCAAACGTTTGCCCGCAGATGTGCTAGATTGAATTATCCTCCACACAATTGATCCGTGTGCCACGGAATGGCAGCGCCGTGGCCAAAGTTAACTATTGCAGTGGATGAAAAGAGGGAACTTTTGGAAATAGAAATCACCCTGGACTGGAAGGGAGGGAAAAGTGGAGTAACTTGGAAGTAAATTCCACTGAAACGACTTGCTTCTTTCTGCATAAAGTGACCAGTAGAGTGGATTTATTTCTCCGTAGTAGACTATACAAAACTTGGTAAATCGTGTCTAAATAGTTATTTCTGCTCAAGGGAAAGTTATTAAACTTTCTGGTTAACTCGTGGATGCTTATAATGGTTGAAATAGTAGACAGTTAATCTTGATTATTTTTCTCTTAATAAAATTTAGACAACCAACATAGATGCATTTCTTTAGGCTCCGCAACACTTTAACTGAGCCCAGCCCTGAACATAGACTTTTAGGACAAATAATAGTACGCGTTTTTCTTCACCTTTCTTATCTCTTGTCTATGGAGGTTCTTAGTCATCCAGGTCATGGTTGTCCCAAAGGTGCCTTTTCAAGAGGCAGCTGGACTTTCTTCTTTTTCTTGAAGACCTTTCGCTTCTCATCCAAGAAGTTGAAGACCTAGGATGAGAAGCAAAACGTCTTCCAAGAAAAACAGGGAAGTCCAGTTGCCTCTTGAAAAAAAAAAGCACTTTTGGGTTTCCCATCTCTTCTTCATAGAAGATAGAGCAAATTAACCCAGGTCTCAGCCTGGATTTAGGGGGAAATACCTCACTTTTTCTCAATCATTGGGGCTATAATTAATTTTTATGGCTGGGTTTGATGGAGAGGCATAAATTCTCCCGATTCGAGCATTCGAGCATCCAAATCGAACAGCGCAGAGGGCTTCACTGCTTGCCTAAAATCCGTCCGGATTTCATTCAAGGAATTCCAAGAGCCCCGTTTCTCTCCCTCCCTCTGTCTCTCTCTCTCTCTCCCCCCTCTCTCTCCTACAGAACATTTGCAAAACTCGGTCACTGCAGAAGCGCTTTATCCCAGGACGTCCCTTGTTTCCAAGCAGACCAAAAAGTAAGGCTCTCAAACGCGTGAACGCTCCTGGTTTGGACTTCCCAGCTCTCTTCTCTAATCTCACCAAGGTTGTTACTTTGCTTTGCCAAAGAGAAACCGAATCCCCTTTTGTGGGACGTGAAGACGAAGTTTTGAAGCCACCGAATTCTGCCCCCCACCCCACCTCCCCACCACCAAAAGGCGAAGTGAAGGCGAACAACAACCCGCCTTAGTCTGCTTTCCTTCAGTTCTGCCTTTAATTCTAGGGCAGCGTGTGAATTTAGTTCAAAAGACCAAGTTGGAATCGCGGAGACTGAGGAGGAAGGAGGTTCAACCCTATAAACGGGCGGTTTCTCTCTCTCTGGGCCTGGTTGCGTGACTCTGGCTTTCACTTGTTTGAGTCTCCGTCGGGGTGGGAAAAAAAGATTCTGGGGAGTTACAGACGCCAAGGAGTTCAAAGAGTTGGAATGGCTCTTCAGAGCCTGGAAGACCTCCTGGGAGGGTTGGGGTTTGCCTGGCCTTAACCGTCCTCCTTGGACATCCTTGGACCTCTCAGTTCCCATTGACTTCAATGGAGAAATCTGCGTTGGTTGCCTTTTAGAACCGTAAACAACAACAACAACAACAAAAATTGGTAAAGAGGGAAGAGGGGGGCAAGCGAGCCAAAGAAAAGACCGCTCTGCCCCACTCCAGGGTTCCCTTCTTGTTTAGCCCTCCCGCTGGTGAGAAGGGGTGTCTAAACTTTTTTGCAGGCCTCAACCCCCCCCCCCCAAATCCCTCCCGCCTTCCTTTTCTCTTATCCCACCTGCTACCCAGCGATGGATAAAGTCGTTATGGGTCGCTCTTCCGGGCAACCAAGGCTAATGTTAGCTCGAGAGTTTTCCAGAGCCCTTTGTGTATTTGGATTTCTTTAGCACGGCAATTATAGTAACAGATTTGCTCCTCTGTAAACACAAACGGGGGCTGGGGGTGGGAGGGGGGGGTGGAGGAGGAGAAAACTCCTCCATCATGTTTTTTTGATTACTATTTTTGAAATCACGGTACAAACAGCGAACTGAGCCATTGCATTATTTTGTAACCCGAGAAACACTAAGCAAATCAAAGTGTCCTCCCGGGGGCCTTTGTCTCTCTCTGTCTCTCTCTCTCTCTCTCTCTCTCTTTCTTTCTCTCTCTCTCTCTTTCTCTCCCTCCCTCCCTCTCTTGTTTGTGCCCAGGGTGCGCGCGTCTTGTGTTGAGAAATCGCCGGGATCGTTCGCACTTCGGCTCCCCCTCGTCCATCTCGGTCTTCAACTTTTCCTTCAGAGGGGTTTCCTGCGGATTTTTTTTTTGGGGGGGGATTAAGGACGTTTTGGTAGCTTTTATCCTCCCGTACAATGTTTGAGCCACCCCACAAATCACAGTCCACGGTCCTCTTGGAAAGCTTGCTGAAGTTAGAAGCGCTTTGCTCAACGGGTGCGATATCTAAGCCTTCTCTATAAATATCTGACTTCTCCTGCCGAAATAAATGGTTTGCAAACAAAATCTTTTCACTCGGACGCATTTTTGGTCCTCCTGTTTTGAGAGCTGGAGTCACAACAGGCAGAGCTGTCAACCCTTTGATATGGGCCAAACGTTTCTAAGGGCGGGAACCCGATCCCGAAGGCTGGCATCTGCTTCTCAAGCAGAATTTTTTTGGGGGGGGGGTTAGCTGTAGCTTCTCTTACCTGACCGGCAGCTCAGACTTTTTATCGATCTGTTTCTTTACAAGAGGGTCGCTGGGTGTGCCCGCCCCGCCCCATCCCGCCTGCAACCAGAATGCTTTCACTTGCCAGTGGGTTCCAGTTACAACAAACCGAGGGGGAGGATTTAAAGCCCTGAAAAAGTTGGAGACACACGGTTTGCAAAGAACCGTTGGTTCTACTTTTCAAATATCTTCCCGCTAGCTTAGAAAGCTCTCAGGAAGACTAGGACCACCCCGGTCTTTCTTTCTTTCTTTCTTTCTTTCTTTCTTTCTTTCTTTCTTTCTTTCTTTCTTTCTTTCTTTCTTTCTTTCTTTCTTTCTTTCTTCCTTCCTTCCTTCCTTCCTTCCTTCCTTCCTTCCTTCCTTCTTTTTCTTTCTTTCTTTCTTTCTTTCTTTCTTTCTTTCTTTCTTTCTTTCTTTCCTTCCTTCCTTCCTTCCTTCTTTCCTTCTTTCTTTTAAAATAAAACACTTCCTGCTTGCTGCCTAGAAATAATTCTTCCAATTTTTGAAAAAAGCTACATTAAACAAAGTATTGTCTAAAGAGCCCACAAAGAGTAGGTCTAAACGGAACTTCCACAGTCAGAAGCAGTGTACTTTAAGTATGTAATCCTCCTCCCTAATATGCTGTTTCTTGGGAGAACTCTGGCTGCTTTGTGATTTAATATCAGCCAAAACCAGCAGAATT